TAAAGAATCAAATAGGAGCCCTGTCCTCAGGAAGCTCCCAGTCTAAGGGCTCTTTGCCTGGGATATCTGTGCTTACCTTATTCACGGGTTGACATGTTTATCTCCTCATAACCCTGTGAGGTTAGTAATAGAGGTAGTAACAGTGTCTCATTTGTCCTGTCAAGTATCTACTATAATGTCTACACCACACAGCAGGAACTAAATACATCACATTTTTGCTGTAACAAATGAGTACTTTGATGGGTTGACTACCTGTCAGAGTTCTTGTAGAGACTGAGAAGAAAACTTACTGTATATAGACTTCACACTGATGAATGGTCCTTGTTCTCCTTAGCTCATCAAAAGGATTTGAAATAGTTGATCACTTAACTTCCTGAAACACTTTCTTATTTGGTGTACAGAACACCACACTCAGCTACCCAGCTGGCTTTCCTCCTACCCTCTTGGCTGCTCATTCTCAGTCTCTTTTGTGGGGTCCTTCTCATCTCTCTGACCTCTAAATGTTGGAGTACCCCAGGGCTCAGTCCTGGGACTTCTCTTTTTCTATCTCTGCTCTCTCCCTTGACAATAACATTTCCCAGTTTCATGGCTTTAAAAACTACCTGTATGCTGCTGACTCCCCAAGTCATATCTTTAGCCTTTCCTCTGAACTGCAGACCCATACAACCAGCTGCCTGCTTGACATCTCCACCTGCAAGCCTAACAGACTTCTTAAACTCAGCTTGTCCAAAATGGTGCTCCCGATATACCTCCCAGTCCCTTTTCTCCTACACTTTCCCCTAGCTCAATGAATGGCAACTCCATTCTTGCAGTTGCTCAGACCAAAACTTTGTGTAATTTTTGCTTCTTCTTTTTCTCATATATACCACCCCATCTGGCCCATCATCAAACCCTGTCAATCTAACTTCAAAATATATCCTGAATTCAGCCCTTTCTCACCACTTTCACTACCACTATCCCAGTTCAAGGCTCCATCATCCCTGGCTCACACAATTGCAACAGCCCCCTAAGGGGACTGCCTGCCTCTGCCTGTGTGCTCCTGCACTAACAGTGATCCTGTTCAAATGTATGTCAGATCAGTCATGTCACTCCTCTGCTGAAAACCCTCTAATGCTCCCCAATGTAGAGTAAAAGCTGAGGTCTTCACTACGACCAATGAGGCCCTACACGAAAATGCTCGCATTACCTCTCCCACCTCATCTCCAACTACTCTCCAGCCCCCATTCTCTCCAATCCAGCCACACTATCCTCCCTGGTGTTTCTAGAATGTGCCAGGCCACTCCTACTTGGGGTCTCTGCATTTGTTGTTCTCCCTGCTTGCAGTACCTTTCTCCCATATAAATGCATGGCTAGTTCCCTCACTTCTTTAAGATCTTCATTCAAAAGCCACCTCATCTAAAATTCCAACTCTGCTACCAACATTTCATATTCCTCTTCTCTGTTTTATTTTTCTTTCAAGCATTTACTTTTATCTAACATACCATATATTGTACCTATTTATCTTGTTTATTGTCCGTCTCACCTACTAAAATATAAGACCCTCAAGGGTAGGGATTTTAATCTAATCTATTTGGTTCCCTATTTTATCCTTAGCATGTAAAACAGTGCTTGGCATAGAACAGGCTCAATCAATATCTGCTTAATGAATGAATGTACCCTGAAGTACATATTAAAACTAAAACTTATATAGAGATATTTAAAATTGGTGATGTGGTTACTCTTTTTCTATGGGAATACATCTCTGAAATGATAAAGCCAGTTAGTGAAAAAATAATTCAATATATCAAAATTTGATAGCCAACATTTCTTTTTTTTTTTAATTTTTTTTTTTTTTTTTGTGAGGAAGATCAGCCCTGAGCTAACATCCATGCCAATCCTCCTCTTTTTGCTGAGGAAGACTGGCTCTGAGCT